ATAACATTTTTGAGATAAATATGCTATTGAGTTCTTTTTTTGGGTCTAAGAAGCTATTCTATATGCGCATGAAATTATGGAAAATAACCACCAGTTTGATTAGGCATTTTCCAGCTAGCTAACCTTGGTGGAATCTTAAAAATCTATCTCCTACTAGCTCCTCTTGTCTTGTGAATAATATGGTATCACATTACCTCCTGCTAAGAGAACTCACCAAAAAATGCTGTGCTTACATAGATTTACTGCTGTTTGGGATTTCGGAAGCCTACCGGAGGGATTTCAAGTGCTCTTTCCGATTTCGATATTTACCCATTCTTGTTGATGTCAATGTTAGACTTTTTCTCTGTCCGCAAAAGGCATGTTGTCTAGTATTTCATATATGCCCTCGGCATAAATGAAACACGATGTAAGGGGTTATCACGGTCAAAACTATGCTAAGTCTTAAGGGAAAGGAAGGTGGATTCCAATCTCATTTGTTTTCCTCTTTAAACTGAGATGAACTTGTCATTGATTACAAATGGCTATTCAAAGTCCGAGGAACAAGTAAATCCTCTAAGCACTGTTCCTGCAAAGGTCAATGGATCATTTTCTGTGACAAATAGTGCATGAGGCGTCAGTTGCCAAGCCAACAATTGAAAAAAAAAGTTGAAAAAGCTTAGACCATTGTTCATCAAGTTGCCTAAATCCTGCTCATCCATTCAGGCAAATTCCTTTATGCACTAATGAGAGTCATAACTTCCACAAAATCTGTGTTTTCTATTTTCCGACTTTGCAGATGTATCCAGCAGGAATATGGAATGAGCTAACAATGACATTCGTCTTTAGTCGACGCTACGGGTGGTACATATTTCAGGCCTATATTCCAACATACCTCACTATATTCATAAGGTTTTTGTTTGAACTTTTTATTTGAAAGTTATGGAAAATGCGAAGAAATTATTTTTAGCTGGATAAGTTTTTGCCTTGGCCCAAAAATGATTCCTGCAAGAACAATGCTCGGAGTTAATTCGCTGTTAGCGTTAACGTTTCAATTTGGAAACATCATGAGAAATCTGCCACGAGTCAGTTACGTTAAAGCGCTTGGTAAGAGTTTCCATTTAAAAAGCTACCTCTCAGCAAGTGAATAACACTCTTGAAGATGTTTGGATGCTTGTTTGCTTAACATTTGTCTTCTCATCGCTCTTAGAGCTCGCAATGATAGGTGCAATTGGTGCCAAAATGGAAGTAAGTACATTGAATGGTTTAGATTTCAAGAATAGTTGCTTTCATATGATAAATTATAGACAAAAGCATCATGTCCTAGCCAGCGGTCTCGCTCATCTTCCTGTACATCACCGCGTATTTGTCGTAATCACGTACAGTCCGATTCACCCCATGGATTTCGTAGTTATGGAACTACTGGTTGGTTAATTTCGAGTTAGCCTCAAGCAAGGCCTCATCAGCAAATTTTATCTATTGAGCACTAAGGTATTCTCATCTTTGAATC